TGAGTAAGACATTCAGCTCTGGAAAAAGGTCTTTACAGTCCAATATTGTCAAGGCAGGAAAATATTTTTATGACTCGAGAAAATGGATGAATTCATTTCCTAATCCTGGGAAGTGATTGACCCAGGAGTGGCCAGCCAAAAAATAGGACTTTGAGAATAGCAACTTGATGTACCCTGAATTTAGGAACCTGTGCTTGCCCCTAAGGTATGTCTCAAGCCCCTTGGCAGGAGTGAGACAGGAAGGTGGTGGAGCTGAGGGATGTCCTGTGGGTTTCTACACCTCCATGAGCTTAGGAAATATTTAGTTATCAAATGCTACACCCATGCTGGAGGTTTGAAACCCTTAGATTTTTGTTCAAACCATTAAGCTCTTTCATCTAATGAAAATAACTTTCTTTTAAAATGGAAAACATTAAACCAAACAATAACTATTTATTTTCTTAATGACTTTTTTGATCCAAGAGCTTTCAGAGTGCTTAGCCTTGCAACTTCAGATTTATTTTTTTTTAAATTGCTTTACAAAATAACAGGATGTTTCTGTGGTGAACATACATCTGTGCTGGCTTTTGCTGAGCTTTGGAAATAGGTCAGGAATTAAAGCTCCGGCTTTGTGGTTCTGAGGAAAGCCCTTAAGAAACTCTCTCAGACATAAGAGGGTAAAGAGGGGTCACTGGAAGTACTGTTTGACCATATATAGATGGCATGGTCTCTCCCATCTGCAAGCATGTACATGCAGCCACGTCTACGTGTGAGCTGCTGAAACTGGTGCTCCTCAATGCCTGCTTAGGACAGATTGCTGCAGGAAAAAAAAAGAGGCAGTCACGGGAAAACATTCAGAGAAACACTCTGCCTTCACCGGACGGTGGTGGCTCCTCCTTACATGCCTTAAGCTTAGCTGTATGGGCTAAATTGTTTCGTGTACCTCTGTGAAAAAAACAGCCCTATGGCTGGGTGTGCGATGTCATTGCCATGGAAACCGGCACCAAGCCTCATCCACACATTGTGCCTGGCTGGCCATGGATGGAGGTCAGGCCACTGACTGCCTACTGACCGATGGAGGTCGGCTCTGGCATCTGCACTTTGCTGCCCTGGGGCCTTTTGGAAGTCCCCCTAACAGCGAGGTAGTGGGAAGAGGGATGGTGTCTCACAGAAGGGAAGACGAAAAAAAATAGTGCAGGAAGCAAAAATGGCCAATGAGGTGTGAAAAATCAACCATTTTGTCCTGCTCTCAGATTGTACTCTCTTGCCGTAGTTTGTGAATTTTGGGGTTTGTTTTGATTCAGAATAGCAGTGGAAATTAATAACTGCTGCAACATTAGTGGGAGGTGCTTGAGTCATTTCTTATTCCCTCAGCCTGGGTCTCAGCAGGGCGGCACAGGAGCTCTGGGCAAGTGAGGCGTGCACTGAACGAGCAGCGTGTGAAGCACAGAGGTGGAGAACTTGGCATAGGGATTAAACCTGGACATGATTTCTGAAATGTTTCCTGAAGCATTAAAGAAAAAAAAGTTCAAAGCCTGAGGTTAAAAAAAAAAAAGAAAAAAAATAAAGATAAAGTGAACTGAAATAAAACCAAATCCAACCTTTGAGGTAAATGGAATTCCCCTATATTTGTCTTTCCCTACCTGCTAAGAATGTTATGCCAGGATTACCAAATGTGAGGCTTTTTCTTTTCAACATTACAGAAGGGAAAAAATGGGATGGGAGGAGAGGTGATTTGTTGGTTTTTTTTGTTTTCTTCAAGATATTTTTCCTTTCCTTTGGTATAAGCAACTTCTTCCATCACTCCTTAAGTCCACTATATTTGTTAGACCTGCGGGTGGCTTTTAAACAACCTCATCACAGTGTAGCTTTTTGTTATCCTAAAACATCAGTTCCCAAATATGCTGTGTAGGCTGCTTGTCTTCAAAATGTGCACAGTTTTTCATGGCTTCTGTGCTCAGGTTAGGGAGAGCAGCTACTGCTTTCTGACCCTTCTTCTTCCCCTCTTCCCCTTCCCAGAGCCCCTGTGTGTGCTGAGAATGCAGCACAGATGGAAGAGCTCCCCCCAGCCCCTTTAATACTGCCTGCAGATGAAAGAGGAAAATCACATTTTTAGCTGCTGTAAAGAGGTCTGATTTCTTTGTTGTGGATGCTGCTGGGTGTGTTTTACTGGCAAAAGGTTAAAGCATGGCTAAAGGGTTAGAAACCTGAGCATAATACAAAACTTGGGTAAGTGCAGCTTTAAAGGTTCTTCTCCCTCTCTGTGCCTTCTGCTCTTTTTCCTGTGGTTGTTAATCAACCCAAACTAACTGGTATAGGTCAGATGAACATATTAACAAAATCTTTGCTACACATTTTTTCTGCTCCTGCTTTCCAAGCAACCTGTGGGGCCTGTGGGCTACATGCCATTCTACCAAAATATTTTAAGCATTAAGCCATTCCTTTGGGAGTTGGTATTTATCTAAGAATATATGCAATTAATCTCCAAGTGTGGTAAATTTATTTTTATCTTTTGTTATGTAAAAATATTTTCAAATCTGAGAACCTGCCTTGCATAAATGTGCAATAACACACTTAGTCTTGGCCCCTGAGAGGGGCTGGCTGTAGTCAGGTGGCTGTTTAACAACTTGTCAAGGGGAAATTGAGTGCCAGTGCAAGGTGAAGCCTTGAGCTGGTTGGGGAACTGCACTGTAGCTGCTGCTTCCCTCCTTTGTGTTTCCTGCAGCAACTCTGCTCCATAACTCTTCCTGCGGGGAACATGCCAAGAACACAGTACATGGAGGCAGAAAGGGGAGAAGTGAAGCTTGTGCTGCTAATGTTGCTCCTCAGGAGGCTTTTTGCTTGGTCAGTTTGAAGTCAGGAATGATGTCTTTGTGCTCCCAAACTGGGATCCTTGGTGGCTTCATTATAGATCCTGCATTTCTTTAATAAACCAGGTGCCTGTAACTCCTGTATCTTAGCATCCTGTGATGCTGCTCATAGGGGTACAGCACGTGTGCATCTCGAGCTGCGTCTCTTTGCTGTACCCCTTCATATCTCTGCTTGCCCTCAGTTGTGCCACTAATGACAATGTGAGGGTGATGACAGTCCTGCAGCGTTCCTGATTGTGCATGTGTGCCAAAGCCTACCATAATTGTCCATCCTCTATGATCCCAGGCAGCAGAGAAATGAAATCATTGAGATGCAATACCATGTGTGTCCAACTCCAGCACATTCAAGCTGTGTGTGGCTTATTGTCACATATGTGTGTAATTGCTAACTGGGTCTTCATGGGGTGGTGCCCTGAAAATGGGTTGCTGTCATTTTCTCTTTGATTAGGCTCCTTTCTAATTTAAAAGAAGTCTTCCCTTGAGGGAGGTTTTTCTTCATTTATTTTGTTAATGGAAGCTTCTTTGAATTATAAACTTACTTCTCTGTACTGAGCTTAGAGAAAAGAAATGGACTGACAAAAACCTAAATATTGCTGCTAAACCTGAGTCTGACAATGTTCAAGTTCAAAAAAAGAAGTAAAAAAAAAAAAAGAAAGTCAAGTTTGTTTCTGCTCTTTTCTTGCAGATTTTAAAATGTTTCTGCCAAGAGAAATGACCACAGTAGTGCATGAAGCTATGGAAAAAACAGCTGAATCTTTTTATATGTTGATTTTATTATAATATCTAGTCCCCTCTTTTAAAATATAAGTCAGGGAAATACATGCATGGAAGTTCAGAAATAAATACCTGGACTTATTTTAACATGAAAGTACTCAGAATATATAAAGATTACCTTATAGATATGCTTTGTTCTTTAAATGAAATAGTGAAGTTTGGCATGCTTCTTAAAGAGGCCTTTTGCCAGTCTTTCCCCATATTCTTAGCTCATGCCTTTGCATAATGATGTGATCCATGGTGGGTAGGAATAATTCGGCCTAACGATGAATAATGGTAGCATTTGTGGTCAACTGGTCATGACATTCTCATTTGAACATTTCTCTTTGGGAACTGCGTCTTTTGAGTCATGAGACTTGCAGTAATGTCAAGAGAGAGAGCAGCACAGAATCAGGCTGGATGAGGGAGAAAGGGGACACTTGTTTTCCAGGGTCCACTGCGGTGGAGGACGGAATTAAAGAAAAAAAAAAGCCTTGCTTGAGATACTGGTAGCTTTACAATCCTCTCTTTGTAACACTTCCTCCCCTCCCAAGTACTTCTGTGTTTAAATCAATGTGTGTCTACAGTTCTGTGAACAAGACCCACTGGAATCTCAGTGAGGGAAAAACAACCTGCAGGAAAGGAGGTGGTGGGAGTAGAGAAGGACAGGGTAAGCACCGAGTTAGGAGGAATTTATTGGTAGCCTAAAATGAGCAAATGTAGAAAAGAGCAGATGATTTTTAAACATGCTGGAATCAGACATTCTACTCCAGATTTGGATCCTCCTGGTCAGCAGAGGAAGGGGAACACGTTGATGAACCTGGGGATCAGGTTTAAATGGAGACACGATGTAATGGAGATGTAATGGAGACACTGTCATGCCAGAATGACCTACTTCCATCATGCCTCATCTGTGTAATTTCTAAGTCCTGTGTATTAGGTATATATGAAGGTTAGTTACACAGATATATATTATTCATTGATAAGTAGAGAGGGATGTGTGAAAAATGCAGAGTTCCCCACAGTAACTAAAATAGGTATTCGTGGTACCTGTGTATAAAAATAGTCTGGACACTATAGCTCTCATTAAAGTTGGGTTTGAAGTACTGTAATTGTGCTGATTAGATGTGTAGGATGTATCTGATTTCTGTTGAAGCAAAAAATGTGTTTACAGGAAGATGAATAAATGGGAATGCAGTATCTGTGATTCAAGGGAAAAGAATTATTAATGTTCCAATGATTTTGCAAACTGAAAGTCCTGGAAGTTGGTTGTGATCTAAGAAAACCACAAGTGCTCAGGCTTGGTTTAAATGAAATCTCTCAGAATTTGTTTGAATGTATGACTAGAAATCCAAATATTGTGGTGATAAAAGAACTGACACTCTTTCCATCCTTCAGATATCATTTACAGGACACTGGAGATGGTGGAAGAACCAGAAAGCTACCCTGCTCTTCCATGGTGTAAACTACTGCTGAAAATCATAAAGAAGAAGAAAAAAACCTTGATTTGTAGTTCTGAATAAAGTGACATTAAGAGAACAGATGCTTCCTTGTCACATGATACTTAAGAGATTCTGATAATGTATCCAAAGCAACTCCATCTTCAAGGGGAAAAAAAGAAAATCATGCCAAATCTGATAGTCTTCTGATGTGTTCCGTTAGTTGTGGATTTCCACAAGGATTCTTCAAGCCCAAAATTAATTATTATGAAAAGCAGTGGCCTTATTCAAGATGTCACAAGGTAACAGAAGCATGTCAAAGTGGTACAGTTTGTGCTGAAATCTAACTATTCTACAGCAGCTGAAAGGCTTGAAGATAACCCTCTTCATCAGAGGTATATTAGAAATTATTTGTAACAGCGGCTCCAGTGTTTGGCCCATGGTCTTCAGAGAAGTTTAGAAAAGTATTTTCACACAGTATGTGCCCAAAGTTTTTTTTCAAACTATCCTCTGCATTTTATTTAAGTCATGTAAAATTTGTAACTGGAGACTACAGACCAACTGCCCATCCAAAGTAAGCAGCAATATTAGCTGGAGAAGAAGGAATGAAAACCAGATTAAGCTGCTAGAATATTTTCTTTCATTTGTATGACAGTGCTTTATAAGAGTTCCAGCTGAAAATGAGGGCCTATAGAGTTTGATTCAATACAAAAGCAGTGCACAGTGTGTAGAGAGAACACAGAGAGTACACGCAGTAATTGTTTGACCTGAGATATTTGTATAAAGAGTTGTGGGAAAAAGAAGCAATAAAGGTGTTGATTCTGTTACAATTAAAATAAAAGTACATGAAGTTTTACTTTAATTCCTCTAATTTTGCTTTTTATTTGAGAAGGGTGTGAGAAGTTTGATTTTAATCTGGACTAGCCTAAAGCAGCTGCGTTATTTCAACATGCTTTTACTTTCAGGCTCTGTAATATGGTAGTCTATGACAAGAGAAGAATGACAGCCTAGAAAGAGCAAATGTTCCCTTGATGAGCACCACCAAAGTTTTTATTGACCCCATGGAACACTTTCCCTAAGCAGGCAATTCAGCTTCTCAAAATAGTAGCTGTAATGATGGTCAGTAACATTTACATGCGTAAAATGGGTAAATCCTCACTTAGGATGAATTTAGACCTGCTGTAGTGGGTTTAACTTTGAATTCAAATGATTTGCACATGCCTGTGTCATGGCAGAGTGTGATCGCCTCAGCTTTTTAAAGTTAGATTGTTGAAGATATTGAAGCAAATATTTTGGAAATATATTTCCTAATCATAGAATTCCTTTTTCACTAAGGATGTGGCTTTGATCAATTATTTATTTAACTGTTCTCAAACATACTTACACTTTTCAAAACCTTTCTTTGTTCAGTTTGTGCCCAAACTGCATGTCCTTGTCACCAGCTTCTGCAGAAAGTCTGAGGGAAGTGGCAGCTGCAGTTCTGTGCAGCTCCAAAAGATGAAACAACCTGAGGGAAACAAGTATGAGATATGATTTTTTTATCTCCTTTTATTTTGTGAGTGTTCACTGCATTAGAATATCCTCACCAGTAACCCTCCTGCAGTTATCAAATGTCTCAGCTTTGTTTCAGTGCTTAACCAGCTGTAAAAGATGTTTTATTGCCTTATGTATTTGTCCACCATTTAAGCAAATCACTTATTATTTTATGTACTATAGATGACTGTAAAAAGAATTTTTTTTTTTTCACTTACAGTGACTAGTGGCCAGGTATGCACACAAACCAGCATATTTGGAGCAAGCAGCAACCTGTCCTGCAGTTATTTGAGAGAGGGGAGTATTACCCCATGAGTAATGCAGCGATCCACGTGCCCTGCTGCTGAGGACCAGCTGGCTGCTGTGTGCTATCAGAGCTCCTTGCCAGCAGGCACGGCTCATTAGGAGCCCAGTTGCAGGATATAACATCTTTGCAGTCAATTAACAATGCTGCTCTTTAAAAAGGTCCAGATCCTTCCTGATTCAGCAAAGCACTTCAATATATGTTCAAAGTTAAATGCTTGATTAAAGTTTTGTGTAATGAAGATGTGAGGTCTTGTGCTTGAGGTTAAACAGGTAGGCACATTCCCAAATCAGGGCCTGACATGTTATAGTTCTTAGAGGTTTCCAGGAATCTTGAATATCCTGAAATACTGACTATGCTGATTTCCAAGCTGAGTAAAACCTACAACTGAAAAACAAAATCACAGCACATGACTGTGAAGCATGCAGGAAAACATTTTAAAATCTATATCTGGTCATCATTGATGCTTGTCTTGCCAAGGAAATGCTAACAGACTGTTTATATTTTTGAAACCTTAAAGTAAATTAAAGAAACGACACAACCTTGTAATCTGGAAATGGTGAAAAAAATATATTTGGTAAAATTAATTTATTTTTTGAAGAAAAAAGCAATGAGAGTAATTGAATTGTTATGCACTTCCTGACTGTAATATTTCTCACTGGACAAGGTTGTATTTTGTAGCGTGCTTCCTGTGGTCAGGTAAAGGAAGACCAAAATTCAAGATTTTGCTTTAGCATTTTATGTAACAATGTCCACCACTTTCCCATGCTTATTTTCCATTGTATGACATCTGCTCAGCTATTGTAATATCCTACTGATAACTCATTGCAGTAATAAGCAAATGTCTTTTCTCTAGTTCAGTAGGTCAACAGCAGAATCAAAGATAATCTCTCACTGATTGTGAGTTATTTATTAACATAACCACTCTGCTGCTTGTGGATCTAAACACCTTACTATGAGACCTAGACTTTCTATTTTCTGTAATAGTACGTTGAATTGCCAGAGCTCACTGCTTCATCTTCTGCAATGTCTCATATTCTTATATCCCTACTAATAAAATGCAAAATTCCATCTGACTGCAATGAGTGTAGATTGAAACCTCAATTAATTTTTAAAGAACTTGTGATTTCTGATGAAGCATCCTATGAATGTGGATTGTTCCATACTTCCTCTTATTTACTTTGTCCTGTTAGAGAAAAAGTTGAAATAAGCTTCCTGGTGTGTGTGTGACACCTTACATGTACATTTTCAACTTTTGTTTTCAGCCTGATTTGGGTTGGAGTATTATTTTGATTTTAATTTAATATTTGGACCTGAAACTTTAAATGAGACAGCCAAAACAAACACATCTCCTGCACAGAGCCTATCTAGAAGTAGATGGAATTGGATCACAGCTTGTAAGGCAGGCACAGCACCTCCTGTTGAGGTATGTCATCCATGCCCATGGAGCTGGTTCTAGCTGCCCTGGACACCTCTGGGGCTGGGGATAATGGCTTCTGGCAGCCTGAAAGGTAAGGCACGAGTCAGATTCTAGGGGGTCTGCCTCTGGTTTCCACTCTCATATTCACTGAATCTGTTCATGGGTAAGACTCAAAGATTTTGCAGGTTATCATGTTCCAGATAAGTGGGGGAAATTTTGGGTTTAGTTGGTGCAGTACTTGATCACCTCAGAGATGGAGGCTCTGGAAACTGAAATCCAGAGAGCTGAGGCAAACCCTGCTATAACAGCATCCAAATTCCACATCCACCACAGCCCACCAGAAATCTGATGCGCAGTGACAGCCCTGCCTTTCTTTGCCTTGCCCCAAACTTCCATGTTATTTCAGATGTAGCAATTTGGGTTCAGTGATAGACACCTCTTTAGGTGAAAGAATTTGCAGCAAAATGTCCAGCCCCTTCCAGGCATGGGGCTGAACCTGAGCTGGGAAGCCCCATCAGAAAACGGACAAACTTTGGAACAGTTCAGACTACTTGTGAACTTTGCCACTGATTAAATGTAAATAATCCTGCTCAGACTCTAAACAGCTGAGTTGAAGCAGAGATTTTGAAAAGAAAGAACTTGGATCACAATTTTATGGCTATCTCTAAAATATTTTATTGCTGGTTTAAGGCACCAGAGTGTAAATTATGGGGCTTTAAAGAGTTGCAGTGTGAAGGTTTTATCCTTTGCTTATGTACAGAACATAAATACTACTGTTTTGTTTTCAGGGAAATTAAATACATATTTTTAAAGTGTTTAGGAAGACAAGTGGGTTAGTAAGAAGAACACCTTACTTTTTTTTTATGTGTCAATACTGTTGGTTTTTTTGAATTGATAATGACTAATTATTGTCAGTCAACTGATGTATGTCAAAGAGTTGAAAAGAAGGAGAGAGGAGTAAGTGTGTGTTGCATGCTTGCAAATACCACTGTGATGGAAATGGTGTGTCTAACACCACATGGATCAGAGAAGAAATGTCTTCTGTTACATGACTGTTGCAGAAAATTATCTTTTGGAAGCACAAGCCATTTCTCAGGTCTGAAACAAACCTTATATAGTTTGTGTGTAGATAAAATTGGCTTATACTGTGTGCACACATGTATACACATGTCTACACAAATGCAGTTCTGTAGATGCAACAACAGCTACCATATTTTCTCATTTGCATTGAAACTCTATGGTCATGTTATCCATTTTTAGAAGAGAAATAATGTTTAGTTTCCTACTACATTTTTAAAACTAACTTAAAGCAATGTAATTCAAGAAATGTGTTCTATTTTGTAGACCAGAGTTTAAAGATCAATTCCTTTTGGATGTGACTTCATCAAGATTCATCAGTAGCTCACTCTGGCCTTTATCTCTTGAGGTTTATATCCAGTATTCATTCAGATTTTGCTCCATCCTTTGTCAAACTGACTCACTGTTATTTCCTTCCACTGTCTCATGCTGAGTGACCATGGGCAGAAAATATGTTTTCAGCTGCTCCTTTTAGTTAATTGTCTTGTTCCAGTAGACTCAGCTAAATTTTTCAAAAGTTATGAAACAGTTATGTCTGTGTATGTGAACTTCATGTTATTCTCCTATGCTCAACCTTGGCACCAATTTCCTTTCCAAACTCTGGGAAAAATGCTGGTTTATATCTATTGGGATGAAACTCAGGTGTAATTCTCCTGTTCTTGAAGACTGGAAGGACTGGGAGGGGACATGAGTAGCCATAGTGGTGGGAAATGCCTGTTTTTAATTATTCTAAATTGTTGTTCAAATCTCTTGCATGTAATGTCTCTGTTCTCTTAGGAGATTCAGATGGATCACTCTTTACCAGCTGTCAAGGCTAATACTGCTGTACAGTCCCTGCTTTCAGCAGCATCCTCAGTGTCCTTGTGGTGGGGTGTCTTGGAAGGACTGTGCAGATCAAGCTTCACACTACCTCTGCACTTCAGGCTCTCTGTGCTGTGAGTACACTGAATAATGTTGTGGTAACTTGGCATGCCCAAGCTGGTTAACTGGAAGTGCATTAACTTAGCTGCTGGAAAACTGATTTTGATGGTTTTATGCTTTTTTGGTGGATGAAACTATGTATCTGCCCCAAATAAATATGAAAGGTGCTTTTATATTGATTTATTAGGCCCTGTAATCACCATAAGTTTCCAATGATTGTAGGTTAAATGGGTATTTTTCCTCTAGTGCATTACAAACATGCTGTAAACAACACAAAGGCTATATTTTACAGGCAGCATCTGATAAACATCATTCTGTTGCTGCTGTTCCTAACAAGAATGGGAGGAGATGCTTTTAGTTATTTTGAGTATCTAATATGTCTTGTAGTAACTCTGAGTATATAGATAGAGGTGGGAAAACACTATGTACAGAGGTGTTCATTTTCCAGCTGTGAGAAAGACATGTCTGCAACCTAACTGGACTTGCTTCAGCTGAAATAAACACTTTTGGGAAGAATTTGGCTGAATGGTTATTTTTGGTCTGGCAAAGGG